TTTCAGCGGATCCCTTCAACCCTCTTATTCAGCTCAACATAGGCGACTCATAGTCCTCTTGACATATTCAGTGCACGTGTATCCCACTATGCCGTCCTGGCCTGATCAGCGTAAGCGACTCATTCAGCCCTCGTGGACCTCATCAGGTCACTTGACCCATTCAGTCCTCCCAGCCCGATCAGCGTAAGGGACTCATTCAGCCCTCGTGGACCTGATCAGCTCATTTGACCCATTCAGTCCTCCCGGCCCGATCAGAGCTGGCAGCCCATTAAACGCTACAGACAAACTGATCACAAGAAAACACACTCAGCCCTCCTCACCTGATCGGCTTAAGCGACCTACTCAGCCCTTCTGACCTGCTACTAACTCTGGACGCGGTCTCTGGACGTACATTGACTGTCATGTGGGACCATATTTTCTCGTGAAGAGAGTCAACATTTCAATGAGCGGCCATATGGTATCATCGTGTGAATTCTTTTTTTTTTTCGTACGAGACCATAGTAAAATAGCATGCGATAACTTGTCTAATACGAAAATATTCCTTAGTGCATGCATTTATTCGCTAATTATCACCTTCTCTGTTCAGAGATCAATTGTATATCCAGATGAACTCCATTTCATTCGCTTTTCTCCGCTAGATAGTTCGAGATGTGATTATTAGATTTATTTGCTTGAGAGTGCATCAACTAATGCTGGCATTGAGAGGTAGAAAAGAAGTGTACTGTGGTACCATAGTGTATTAAGGCAAAAATGAACTTGGCAGTGAACGCGTTAACTATTGGGTGCACAATAGCATTCCATCGCGTACGAACAGAAATGGTACGTGTTCATTAAGTGATAAAAGATAAGTTTCCCTTTCCAGGGTGACCACAGTTTCTTGTAAAATACCTGGCTATTTCAGTTTTTCCCGATAGTTTTTTTTTTTCAGATAAAATTTGCAGAATATATCACACTATTTGAAGAAAATAATGAAGCACACCTAATGGCAATTTGTCAGCTCTCTATATTTGACGTAATGATGTATAAATTATCTAACTATTTCCAAAAAATACAAATTGAAATTATAACATTAAACGAATATTTTAAGCTGTAAGGTCTCATTTTTGTTACCACCTCAAAATTTCCCTTATTTCCAACCACTTTACAAATTTCATGATTTCCCCTCACTTTTTCAGAGCAGTGGTATTTGCTGATTTCCTCAGTTTTCTAGAAATTGGCCACCCTGTGGTTAACCCTCCGGTTTAACGCTTAGAGCTTCCCGCTGCACAAGCAGCACACACTCTAAGAAAACAAAACTAATATAAAACATTGTGAGAACACTCATTTTTCAACTCCCCTAACTCAGGTTCACCACACTCGAGGAAACTCCTCTCCTACAACCGATCTCCCCTCCCGAATAACTTGGCTGAAATATCTGCTACACAAAGCATATGATGAGGGATCGTAGCATCGGTGGAGATGTTGAAACTAGGAAATAAATAGCGGGGAGGGAGGTGCAAAGCGGGGATGAGAAGAGTGGGTCGGAGAAGATGGATCGAGTGGAGTAGACAATGGGAATATGGCTAGAAGACAGGTCAGTAGGGGAGAGTCGGGATGGGCCAGGTGAAGAAATGAGGGGAAGACAACAGAAGCAAGGCGTGAAGAATGTTGGGGAGGATGGAGAAAGGGATAGGGATACGGTTTATGGCAAGTGAAAAGGCGGAAGGTGTAAGGTGTAAGGTGGAAAGATAGTGCGGGGGAGGGGGTCTGGGAGGAGAATGGTGTAGAGCGTGGTGGGATGAGAGTGCAATGGGGGAGAAAGTGAAGCGTGGAGCGGAGCGGCTGGCGGCGGAGGAAGAAGTCGGAGAGAAGCGAGAGGGCTGTTGGGGAGAGAAGAACGCTGGTCTGATTGGAAACGGTGGGACTGCTGGACAAGTGTGTGGATTTGAACAGTGGGGCAAGTGGAG